ACACACACACACACACACACACACACACACACACACACACAAACAAGAAAAACAAAAGAAAACACCCCAGTAATAAATAATGTGTCTTTGACTTCCCTGAGAATCTAGCCTGAGTTAATGCGCTGTAGATTCGGGATGAGTAGGTTTATTTAATGAGTGAGTGAGTGATCAAATGCTACAGGCACTGAGTCTTACACGCATTTACTGTCTATGGTACTCGAGTTCATTAGATGCTATTCTTTATCTCCACCTTACAGACAAGTAAGTCTGTAGAACTTTGCAGAAATTTCAAAATAGCAAACAAGGACTGGGGAGATGGCTCAGCAGGTAAAGGCACTTGCTACCAAGCCTGAGGACCTGAGTTTGATTCCTGGAACCAGCATGATGGAAGGAGATCTTACTCTACAAGTTGTCCTCTGATCCTCACATGGACAGATACATAAATGTATGCTTTTTTTTTGAGACAGGATCTCCCTGTAGCCCCAGCTGGCCTGGAACTCACTATGTAGGCCAGGCTGGCCTCGAACTCACAGAGATCCGCCTGCCTCTGCCTCCCAAGTGCTGGGATTAAAGGCATGCGCTATCATGCCTGCCAAATTATGCATTTTTTTAAAGTTAGTGAACAACTGACTTAATATACTGAGGTGGTCAGAGAAGGATCCAGATCCACCTCCTAAAGCTGGACCTCAGGGGCCATGTATCCACCATGCCCCACACTGCAGCTCATGTCAGGGGAGGGCTGGAACAGCCTAATGGAAAGCCTTTGGAACTTCAAGGGACTTTGTCCCCACCCTGCAGAAGCTGGGCTGGCCTCAGAGGTTATCTCTCAGGTCAGGGGACAAAGTTGGTCAGTCTGGGGCAGGGGAAGTGAGGTGTCAGTCCTCTAGGAAAAGGGTACTTCTGGCCTTTCAAGAAAACAGACCCTGGACTAAATGATGTTCTTAATAAACTGGGAAGGTGAGTGTTAGCTTATGTCATGAAGATGCAGTAGAGACATGGGGGTTCTCTTCGCGCAGTGCTAGATCTGAGGACATTCGAGATGGATGAGCTTTGTCACAGTGTAGGAGCTCTTGGTGGTTATAGAGAAACCCCAGACCCCATGCAGCTGAGGGCCAATACACATAAGAAATTAGCTCTGTCTGCAGCCTCCATCCTAGTTTCAAACACTTTTAGTACAAGACACATTCCTACAACTTTTTTTTTTTTTTTTTGAGACAGGGTCTCCCTGTAGCCCCAGCTGGCCTGAAACTCACTAGGTAGACCAGGCTGGCCTAGAACTCACTGAGTTCGGCCTGCCTCTGCTGGGATTAAAGGCGTGGGTTACCCGTAAAAAAAGTTAAGTTTAAAGACAGGGTTTCATTTATCCCAGGCTGGCCTCAGGCTGAGACTGAGGCTGAGACCAGCCTTGAACCGTTGATCTTCCTATCTCCACCACCTGGGATTACAGGTGTTGCTAGCGCTTTCTTTTAAAATATTTTACATATATTTATTTACTTATTTATTTGTTTGTGTGTGTGTGTGTGTGTGTGTGTGTGTGTGCGTGTGTGTGTGTTGGCATACATGTGCCATAGCAGGCATGTAGAGGTCAGAGGACAACTTGCAGGAGTAAGTTCTCTCCTTTACCATGTGGGAACCAGGGATTGAACTCAGGCCATCAGGTTTGGCAGCGTGCCCCTTTACCCACTAGGGCACAGACCTGCCCCTCTGGCTGTTTCCTTGGTATATCTGGGGCCTCCAGCAAGCCACCCTCTTCCCCTTTGTTTTCACATCTCAGACAGGGGGTGAATAGAACCTTTTAGCAGAATGCCTGAGGCATTTGGCACTCAATAATTAACTATTGTTATTCCAGTATCATTAACTTTAATTCAGTTCTTGAACACTGACTGTGTGCAACAGAATGCAAGGGACACAGGATGCCAAAAGCTTAATCTTTAATTTCAAGAAGCTTCTAGGGGATGGAGAGATGGCTCAGCAGTTAAGAGCACCCACATGCCGATTAAGATTAACAACCATCCATAACTCCAGTTCAGGGGATCAGATGCTTTCTTCTGACCTCCACAGGCATTGCACGACATGGGTGCACTTACATACATGCAGGCAATACACTCATACACATAACCTAAAAATAATAAATAAAATATTAAAAAAAGAAAGTTCTAGCCTATTTGTAGATAAATCAATTTTTTTTTTGTTCCTTCTCCAATCTTGGTGGGCAAGGCTGCCCTGGGCCACCTAAATGCTAGGGTCCTAGTGAGTTGGAAGCTCTGGGTTCCGGAATTCCATGTCCTTGGCATCCCTCTGTGTTGCCATTCTTGGTGCCCATGCCATAGCAGAAAGCTCATAATATACCATTGTTTGACTTCCATGTGCATATCCTGAGATCAGGGTGCACCCTCCCTCTGAGGAGGGGTCTGATGCAGAGGGCAGGGGCTCAGGACTCCTGGACAGGATAGTGACAACAACCAAGAAAACTCATAACTGAAATGTATAGCTTTTCATCAGGTTTCTGGGTGTTCAAAACCATTTTCTCTTCAGGTTAAAAGGTGTGGGAAGAGGTCCCTCCAGCAACGTTTTCCATGGGCCCAAACTGAATTTAGAAAGACACATCCCAAACTGTAACCTGGCCCACCCAAGTTCCCAAAGGTCTTCAGATAAGAATCGCAGGGTGCTGGTTGAATATGCAGATTACCACGCCCCCTCTCCAAATTCTAATTCTGAAGTCTGGATGAAGCTGTGAAGTCAATAGTTTTAACAAACACTCCAGCAGACTTGGATGCTGGGGCAAGTCTGGACACAGAGCCTTGGGCTGGGGCTGGGGCTAGGGCTGGGGCTAGAGTTCAGTGGTAGAGTGCTGCCCAAGCATGCACAAAGCCCTACTTTAAATCTCTAACACCATATAAACACCTCACCTAAAACCTCAAGACTTAGGAGGTAGAGGCAGGAAGATCAAGAGTTTAAGGTTATTCGAGGCCAGCCTGGGCTACAAGAGACTCTGTTGGGGGAAAAAAATCTTGGGGTTGATGTTTGGTGGGAGGGCAGGATAAGTGAACAGGGGACTGGTGTGCAGATCGCCAGGATTCCAGCTGCCTGGTTTGCAGGCCCCAGGGAGCCTCCTTCTACCTTCTAACACCTGTTCAGATAGCAGCCTGAGGCTCTTTCAAGATGGAGTAGCCTGTGAAAGAGCACAAGTGTGTAAAGCACCTGGCACATAGTAGGTGTTCAGTAAATGTTAGCCAGCTCTTAATGTGCTAGTGGAGGCTTGAAGAAGACAGGATGGGGGTTGGGAGCACCTAAGGAGAAAGGCAGTGATTGCAGAGGAAAACACAGGGGCAGACGCTGGGGTAGGAATTTACATTTCTTTAAAGGTAATTCCAACCCTGCCTTTCCATTTTGAGAAAGGTTAGGCCAAGGATTTTTCCTGGTCAAATATGCCAGAGGCATTTCCATTAGCCCTATTTTTTTTTTTAACAGAATACAAAAATTATTATAATAAATGCTCACATGACCCTCACACCCTAGAAGTCTTCACAACCAATTACATTACCATTTCTATTAATTCACCCATTTATACAGTATGAAAAAATGTTCTTCCTTTAGCATAGGCCCTATGCACATGACACATTTATATCAAGTGTCCCCCACACAAACAAGAAATATGACTGATGAGTTGCTAGGATATAGGAGTTTAAGTCCATTTTGTACAGATAGGCAGGTCTCAGGGAGCAGAGCAAGTGGTCTCCCAGGGAGCTGCAGGCAGGAATTATAGGCAGCAAGCTACAGCTTTTGTTTCCTCCCTGAAATCTGCATGCTGAGTAGGGAAGGGCCTGATGCTACCCAAACCACTTGGGTTAGCTATAGCGGGGACCATCAGCTTCCGTGAGCAGATGAAGAAATCTTTATTCCTGTTCCTCCTGCCTCATTCCCCAGGTCTTTGAAGTTGGTATTTGTCACCATGGGATTGACTCAAGCTCACTTTAAAAAAAATTTATTTATTTATATTTTATATGTATGAGTATTTTGACTGCATGTATGTAAGTGCACCACATGTGTGCAATGCCTGCGGAGGTCAGAAGAGGGCGTCAGATCCCCTGGAACTGGAGATATGGATGGTTGTGGGTGCTCTTCCCCTGGAAAAGCAGCCAGTGCTCTTAACCACTTAATCTCTCCAGTCCCTGGAGCTTCCATTTGTTCTTACAAATTCCCAGCACCCAGTAGTTGGTTGGAGAAGGCTGCACCCCAAGCTTGGTGCTACCCACAACAGACACCTGCCCCCAACACTCCCTACCTGTTCTGGGTGAGCCAGATACCTGTTAGGAGCTGGAAAGATGGGGCTGAGACACCTTTTAAGAACTGGAGAGATGGCTCAGAGGTTAAGAGCACTGAGTGCTCATGCAAAGGACCCAGATTCGATTCCCAGCACCCACATGGCGGCTACGAACTGTCCTTAACTCCAGTTCCAGGGGAATCCGACGCCCTCGTCTGACCTCCGTGGCATTGCATGATACGGGTGCACTCACATACATGCAGGCAATACACTCACACACATAAAATAATAAAAATAATAAATAAAATATTTTTTTAAAAAGCTGGAAAGATGACCGCCATCCAGGACAGGCAGAGTAAGGAAGCCATTTTTGTGCTGTTGAGGGCTAAGCTAGGGTCTCAAGCCTGGGCTCCACTACACCTCCAGCTCACCCACCACAGTGCTCAGTCTCAATCCTAAGGATTTCCTAGGTAGAGAAGGAAGGTGTCAGCACCCCAGACCCGGTCTCTGGATCCACGGTCTCCCCTAATTTATCAGAGGTCTCTCCCATCACATCTCGCCTTCCCCCCGAAAGGGACTCCCAGTCCTGCCCCTCCTGGGGGGTAATAGGTTCCTGCAGCCTCCCGGGAGGGGCAGGGAGGAGGCGGGGCGGCTGCCCTGGTATAAGGGACCGACGCGCTGTTTGGCGATCAGCCAGCCCACCATGCGCGCCCACCGCCTCCAGCTCCTTCTCCTGCACGCCTGGTGGACCCTGCTCCAGCCGCGCGCCGGGATAGTGGACACCTTGCCTCTGTGGACGCGGGGGCAGCCCTCGTCGCCGTCCCCTCTGGCGTACATGCTAAGTCTCTACCGAGACCCGCTGCCCCGGGCCGACATCATCCGCAGCCTGCAGGCACAAGGTAGGCTGCGCCGCATGCACCCTAGGGCGCTCCAGGCCCGGGAAGTGTGCACGGCTGCGGCGGGGACTGGGGGCCCAGGGCTGCCCAGGGTCTGGCCCTGACGGTGTTTCCCCGACCGCGGGCTCAGGGCGCAGGGCTGGAGGGAAACCCAGTGTCCAGGGGCCACCGCCTCTCAGGCCCTGGTTTGGATGGCAGATGCCACTGAGCATGTCAGAGACTCAGTTTCCCATCTGTTAGGGATCACAAGAGGGAACTAGGTGACAACCCACCAGAAAAGTTCTGCACCGACCAAATCGGGCCCATAATACGACAGGTCGTTGACTGATTTGCCCAATTTCTTTTCGCCAGTGAGCGTAAACTTGTCGGGCTGTTCGAACTGGGAGTCTTAGGCAGTAACAAGCAACATCAGGAATTAGTGTTGCAAGATCCGAAATCGGGGACCCGGGGACCCCAAGTCCAGAATTCAGGCAGCTCTCAGTGCCTGCAGCCGGGCTGGGGAGGTGTCAGGTGTCACAGGACCCTAGGTCTGGACCAGAGTGTGGGTCGTGGGCTCAGTGACCTGACGCCACGGACCCGGAAGGCAGGTGTTTGGGAGAGGCAGTCCGCACTCAGGACCCCTTACCTGGCACAATCCACATCCCGCCCCTGGGCAGCTCTGCCTGCCCCAGCCTCGGTCCTGCCGGGCCAGACAGCCCTCCGCGGGACCAGGGTGTAATCCACATCTGCTAATCCGGTCTGACCCGCTGCCCGCCCTCGCGATTTAGAGGCGGAGCTCCTAGACCCTCTAGGTCTAGGGTGAGACTGCCTGTGACCCTCTCTGCAAGGGTCATCTGGGGCCTAACCAGACTGACGGAGGACACCCTGGAGGGCGAATCAATGGAAAATTAGTTGGTGGAGTGCCCTGCCCATGCTCGGGAAAGACACACCTTTCCAGTTCCCTTTCCTTCTAGAAAGTTCTTGAAGGTTTATGCAGTCATGCGACTGTCTGGGATTCTGGAAAAGTGGGCTCCGGGTTTGCATTCTGTGCCTTGCTTGTTTTCTTGGCTCTTTAGTTTCCACCTGTGCTAATGGCAGTCCGGGATTGGGGGCTAGTTTAGGGAGACAGAGCTTTGCATGTGGGAAACAGGGTGGCAGTGACTCTGTGACTTTCCACTGCCTTTTAAGTGGAGCCTCTTGCCTCCCTGGTTGAAAGGAGGGAAAAGCAAATCACCTGAGCTGCAACTGTTTCCTTCCGAATTATAGGTGGTTCTGGCCAAATCCACATTCAGTACATGAGTGGGTTTCAAGGTATGTGGGAACCCTGTCCTCAAGCCTACTCCATTCAAATTTACGGTATTAGTTAGATAAAGTTTTTTTTTTGTTTGTTTGTTTGTTTTTTTTTTCAAGGAGGGGGCATCTGAAGTCAGTGACTATAATAAAAATAAAACAAAAAAATTAAGGACTCTTGTTCTAAAGAGAGCAAGAGTTAGATCTGGGTACCTTAATCAAAGCATACCATCTCCCTTCTACAAAGAGGGCAACTGAAGCCCAGAGAGGAAAAGCCTGATGAATGTCAGACAGCATATGGCAGAACTGAACCATCACAGGTGGACTCTGAGGCCTCTGCTCTGAACAATGAAGCAGGAGCACAGTCCACCTGCCTCTGAAAGATGGTGTGCAAGCACTGGGGATAAAATAGCTTCAGATCACACACGGTGCTGATACAGGGGCCCAGGAGCAGCTAGAGTATCCCACCTAACCCCTATCCTAGACTGACCTAGGCCCATTATTCCCTCCTGGAAGTGGAAAGGCAGCTGAAAGAAGCAGGCACTGGGAATTGTCTAGAAAAATTCACCCTTTCTCAAAGAGACAGTTAAAAACTAAGGGCCATACTAGACCTTCGAATGCCACTGCTGCCTCCAAGACTAGTCAACAAGCCAATCACAGACTCCTAGTTTTTATTTTTAATAAATAGCCCCAGGTTTTCTTTTAGCAATAAATCATTAAGGGTCAGGAATGTGGCTTAGTTGGTAGCACTTACCTAACATGCACAAAGCCCTGGGTTCAATACTCAGCACCACCTAAACCAGGCTTGGTGACTTGTGCCTGTAAATGGCTTTGGGAGAAAGAGGCAAGAGGATAAATAAAGGGTTCAAAGCCGTCTTCAGCTACATGGTGCGCTTGAGGCCAGCTTGGGCTACATAAGACCCTGTCTTAAAAAACACAAATTTATTAAAAGAAGGGCTAGAGAGATGGCTCAGCTCTTAAAAGCATGTATTGCCCTTCTAGAAGGCCTGAGTTCAATTCCTAGCATCCATCAGGAGCCTAAAAACCACCTGTAATTCCAGCTCCAGGGGATCTGATGCCTTTGCCCTCTGTGGACTCCAGTATTAGTGTGCATGTATATACACACACATCATTAAAAATAAAATTTTAATTATTTAATTAGGTAAATTTTAATCTCTTTATTCCCCCTGGTTCCTTGCACACATTATTATTGTGCTGTCTTGTTTTTTGAGACAGGGTCTTATGTAGCTCACCCTGGCCTTGAATTTCAGGTGCATATACCTGAGGCTGGCCTTAAACTGCTGTTCCGCCTGCCTCTACCTCTAACTAAAGTGCTGGGATTATAGGCATGTGCCACCACAGCTAGTTGTAATGCAGGACTTACTATTTTTTTTTGGGGGGGGGGCTTTTTGAGACAGGGTCTCCCTGTAGCCCCAGCTGTCCTGGAACTCATATGTAGACCAGGCTGACCTTGAACTCACAGAGATCCAACTACCTCTGCCTCCTGAGTGCTGGGATTAAAGGCATGTGCCACCATGACCTGCAGGCTTGCAAAGAGTGGAAGATCGCATTTCTTTCTTTTGTTGGCAGCACAGTGGTTCATACATTCTGTAGCCCAGGCTGGACCCAAACCTATGGCTACCTGAGTGCCAGTATTACAAGCATGAGTCACCATGCCTTCTAGATCCACGAATATATGCCAGTTCTAGTCTCAGACATCAGGCAAAATTAGTCCAGGACTTGGGGCTGGAGAGCCAGCTCAGCAGTTAAGAGCACTGGCTGCTCTTGCAGAGGACCCAGGCTCAGTTCCCAGGACCCATATGGTGACTATTGACCATCTGTAACTCCAGTTCCAGTGGAACGGACACCCTCTTCTGGCCTCTATAGGCACTGCATGACACAGGTGCACTTATATACATCCAGGAGAAACACTCATACACATGAAAAAAAAAAAAAAAATAGAACAGGACTCAAGTAAATGGAATATATTGTTACCCCAGTCTGTCTCAGCCAGTGTGGGCTGCATTAGCTGGCACAGGGGTGTGTGTCTACCCTAGGTGTATGAAGGACCTGGGCCAAGGAGGTGAGGGAAGCATCCTGCAGGTAGACCAGACATACTGTGGAAAACCAAGGGCCCCCAAAGTCATGCCCATAATGCCTTTAGAAATCTCTTTGTAAAGTGATGAAAACTGAAGCTTCTGCCTCCCTCTGTAAGAAGAGGTTGGGAGAGGGTGGCCGGCCAGCCCTTGGTGATAGCCCCTGCCTCCATGACAGCTCTCTGGTTACAGAGATAGTACATCCACCCTGTGTGTCTGCGAAACAGGTGTCTTGCCCACTAAGAAAACAGAGCTTGAAAAGGTGGCTTGCTCCTCACAAATAGAAGCCCAGAGTCTAGGTTGGAAGGCCCAGGCTTAGCCTTAGGCTGTTGGATGACGTTTTGCTCGCTGGCTGCCCAGGGTATCTAAGAAGGGGATGGCTAGGATGTACAGGGACTTGGGTTTCAGGCTTTGCAGTCAGGCAGTTCCTGGCTCTTGTCAATCCTACCCCCAACCCCAACCCTAAGAATCTAGCCCAGTTTGGCCTTGAACTTCTTTTGTAGCTGAGGATAACCTTGAACTTTTGATTCTCCTGCTTCTAGCTCCTGAGTGTTGGGATTGCAGGCTTGTTCCACCATGCCCAGTTCATGCTGTGCTGGAGATCAAACCCCCAAGGCTTTGTACATTCTAGACAAGCATTCTACCAACTGAGGTGTGCTGTATATTCCTAGCCCTCTTGCTATTTTTCAAGATAGAGACTTTCACAAGCCCCTTTTACCTTTCTGAGGCCTCCATTTTCCTTCATCTATCTAAAAATGGACTATATCAGGCTAGAGAGTTGGCTCAGTGGTTAAGAGCACTGGCTGCTCTTGCAGAGGGCCTGGGTTTGATTCCCAACAATGACATGGCAGCTAACAACCATCCATAACTCCAGTTCCAGGGGAATTTGATACCTACTCTTCTGACCTCCATGGGCACCGCACAACACGGGTGCACTTACATACATGACAGGCAATACACTCATACACATAAAATAAAAATAGTAAAATATTTTTAAAATGGACTATATCTGGACATGGTAGTTCTTAACTTGTAATCTTAGAACCTGAGAAGCTGAGATAAAAGGATGATCAAGGGTTCTAGGTCAGCCTGGATTAAATTGTGGGTTTCAGGTCTGGCTGAGTTGGTATGAAACCTTGTCTCAAAAAGCCAAAATAAATAGGGGCTGGAGAGATGGCTCAGCAGTTAAGAGCATTTGCTGTTCTTGCAAGGACGTGGGTTGGGTTCCCAGCACCCATATGGCAGCTCACAACTGTCTATAAAAGTGGACTCAATAACATAACATAATTTGATAACCAGCCAGTAGGGATGGGTGAAGGTGAGAGATAGTGACAGGTACCCTGCTAAGGTAGAGTTACAGGAGACTCCCTCTCATCCTGTTTCCTTCCTATGTTCTTCCCCCAGATGCAGAGGTGAATGGGCAGAACTGGACCTTTGCTTTTGACTTCTCCTTTCTGGATCAAGAGGAGGATCTGGCATGGGCTGAGCTCCGGCTTCAGCTGCCCAGCCCTGTGGACTTCCCCTCCGAGGGCCAACTTACCATTGAAATTTTCCACCAGGCAAAGCTGGACCCAGAGCAGGACCCAGCAGGTTGCTTGGAGCGCATTAGGATGGAACTGTTCACCATCACTCTCTCTCAGGTCACTTTTTCCTCAGGCAGCATGATCCTGGAGGTGACCAGGCCACTCTCCAAATGGCTAAAGGACCCCAGGGCACTGGAGGTGCAGATGTCCAATCTGGTTGGAGAGTGCTGGCATCAGTCCCCCACCCCGCCTGCCACTGTCACTAGTACCAATGTACTCCTCCTACTCTACTCCAATGTGCCCCAGGAGCAGAGGCAGCTGGGTGGCGCCACCTTGCTCTGGGAAGCTGAGAGCTCCTGGCGAGCTCAAGAGGGACAGCTGTCTGGGGAGAGGGGCCCATGGAGCAGAAGGCACCGTAGACATCACTTGCCAGACAGAAGCCAACTGTGTCGGAAGGTCAAGTTTCAGGTGGACTTCAACCTTATTGGATGGGGCTCCTGGATCATCTATCCCAAACAGTACAATGCCTATCGCTGCGAGGGCGAGTGTCCTAACCCTGTGGGTGAGGAGTTTCACCCCACCAACCACGCCTACATCCAGGTTCGATTTGGGGCATGGGGTGGGCTGCCAGAAAGGGGACAGGAAGTCATGGAGATGTACCATCATAGCACAGAGTCCTGTCCCACGGAGTTGCCTTGAGCACACTGCTTCTCTGGGACTTTCAGGTCTTTTTTTTTCTTGTGACAGGCTGGCCTCAAACACTTGCCTTTACTGCTCTAGCGCTGGGATTGCAGGCATACACTATCATACTCAGTTGCAAGGGACAGAACCCAGGGTCTGGTGTACACAAGGCAAGCACTCTACCATCTGAGTTGCATCCTCAGTTTTTCCTTGTCTTTTATAAAATTAGGTGGTGGGATAAAACAGAGGATCTCGGCTCCTCTCCAACCCTGTCCTGGGAAAGGAAGTTCAGAACTGGGTTTGGGTCAGACCATTCTGCCTTTGGCTCCTACTCCTTAGTTGTGGGACATTACGCTGCTTATTTTATTGGGCCTCAGTTTTTTTTGCACCTGTAAATTGGGAAGCCAGTGCCATATTTCACAGCAATGCTGTAGGGTTCATGAGACAATGCACTTGTAGTCTGTTCCATAGGTGTGAAATACTGTGTTACCCTTTTTTCAAGTTCAGATGAAAAGGGCTGGAGAAATGGCTAAATGGTTAAGAGCACTGATTGCTCTTGCAGAGAACTGGGGTTTGGTTCCCAACACATACATGGCAGCAACAACCATCTGTTACTCTAGTTCCTTCAGGATCTGATGCCCTCTTCTGGCCTCTGTAGGCACTGCATGCACATGGTGCACTTAAATATATTCAGAGAAAGCACAAAAGCACATAAAAATAAAACCATAACTACCATACTTCTGTATTGTAGTAGCCATGGTGTATGGGGAGCCAGGAGTTGACTACCCATGTTTCAGGAGCAGGTAAGGCCAGAGGCTACCACCAGGTACCTAAAGTCTGGAGGTGATGGAGGGAGAGACACAGGACTGGCAAGTTAGGAGAATGGAATAGAGAAAGCAGAGTCCAACATGATAGTCCTGATGTAAGACGAGGCCCTGTCCTCAAACACATGGGACCAGAGTATTTGCATTCTGCTCCATGAAACCACAGTGAGACTCTGGGGCCTGCAGTCTGCCCTCTGTGCCAAGCCTTGGGTGGGGTCAGGGCCCCAGGGGCAGGAGCACAAAGAGCTGAGCTCATGCAAGGGAGTCACTGTCAGGGCCAGAGCCTCAGAGGGCCTGTCACTAAGACACTTTTCTCACCACCTGGGGAACAGAGGGAGCCAGGAGGCCCATAGGGTCCCAATTATCCATTCCACTTTTAAAATTTATCTATCTATCTATCATCTATCTATCTATCTATCTATCTATCTATCTATCTATCTATCTATCATCTAACATCTATCTATCTATCTATGCTTTTTGAGACAGGGTCTCCCTGTAGCCCCAGCTGACCTGGCTGGCCTTGAACTCAGAGATTCTCCTGCCTCTGCCTCCCAAGTGCTGGGATAAAGGTGTGCACCATCACACCCAACTTACATTTATTTAGGGGGGTGTGTGTGTGTGTGAGTATGTGTGTTCCCACACATGCAGAGAGCAACTTGTATGAGTCAGGTCTCTTCCCACCATGTGGGTCCTGGGGATCAAACTCCAGTCATTCAGGTGGTCAGGTTTAGTGGTAGATGCATTTTACCCACTAAGCCATCTTACCAGCCTGGTGTGTACTTGTTAATATGGGCAGTGTATACATATGTGTGAGGGTGAGCATGCATGCATGTGTGTGTATGTGTAGAGTCTTGAAGTTGACATGAGATTTTCAGTCACCTTCCACTTTTATTTATTTTTATTTTATGTGTATGTGTGTATTGCCTGCATGTAGGTAAGTGCACCTGTGTTGTGCAATGCCTGTGGAGGACAGAAGAGGCTGTTGGATCCCCTGGAACTGGAGTTACGGACAGTTGTTAGCTGCCATGTGGGTGCTGGGATTCGAACCTGGATCTTCTGCAAGAACAGTCAGTGTTCTTAACTGCTGAGCCATCTCTCCAGCCCCCATCCATTTTTATTTTAAAATGTGTGTGTGTGTGTGTATGCCATGGCTTGTGTGTGGAAGTCAGAGGACACCTTGTAGGAGTCCTTCCATTGAGTAGGTCCTAGGGATTGAACTCGGATCAGCAGGGATGGAAGTGCTTTTACCTGCTGGGCCATCTTGCTGGCCAGTATCTTCTGAGACATGGTATCTCACTGTGCCTGAAGTTCACTAATTTGGCTGGCTGGCCAATGTGCTTCAGGTATCTTCCCCCTTCTCCAAAGCATTGGGGTTACAATGGACACTGCCTTGTCCAGCTTTTTACTATGGCATTGAGGATCCAGACAAGTTCTCGTTTGCCCAGTAGGCACTTTGGCAACTGAGGCATCTCCCTGGCTGTTCCCCTCTCCCCAGGTGGCATCTCATAAAGACCAGGCCCACCTTGAACACCTAGCTTCCTGTCTTTACCTCCTGAGTGCTGAGATTTCAGGCATGTACCATCACATTATTATGCAGTGCTGGGGGTTGAACTTAGGGCTTCTGTGTGTGCTAGGCAAGTACTCTACCAACTGACACACCCCAAACCCCTGCTCATTCATTTATAAAAACAACTTTCTTCTATTTTTTGTACCAGAAGTTGGTTTTCACTTTAATATTTTTACTTGCCAAATTTTTTCCATTTATTTAAAACTTTTTAATATTTTTTAACTTTATCTGTACGAATGTATTGCCTGCATGTATGTAAGTGTACTCATGTCCTGCAATGCCCCTGGAGGTCAGAAGAGGGAGCTGGATCCCCTAGAACTGAAGTTATGGACAGTTGTTAACCAAATGGGGTGCTGGGATTCGAATCTCAGTCCTCTGCAAGAGCAGTCAGTGCTCTTAACAGCTGAGCCATCTCTCCATCATTTACTCTTTAAAAATATATATATTTTATGTATATAAGTGTTTTGCCTGTATGTATGTAAGTGCACCACATGCATGGAGTCCAAAAGAGGGCATTGGATCCTGATGGACCTACAATTACAGACCAATGTTAGCTACCATATGGGTGCTGGGAACTGCACTTTGGTCCTTTTCAAGTGCTCTTTACTGCAGAACTGATCCCTCCAGCCCTAACTTTTTTTTTTCAATGTGTATGAGTGTATTGCCTGCATGTATGTAAGTGCACCTGTGTTATGCAATGCCTGTGGAGGCCAGAAGGGGGTGTTGGGATCCCCTGGAACTGGAGTTACACACAGTTGTTAGCCACCATGTGGGCCCTGGGATTCAAACCCTGGTCCTCTGCAAGAACAGTCAATGCTCTTAACAGCTGGGCCATCTCTCCAGCCCTTTTTTTCACTTTTTTTTTCTCTTATTAATAACAAAAATAAATACTTTATTTCAAAGCAAGCATTTTATAACTTTGCACAAAAGGGAGAGAATATTACATTGTATTGTATAATTATTTACCGCTCCAAAAAGTCAGTTGAGACTATCTACTAAATATATAAAAAACATTAACCTTTTAATGTGATCAACCAATAAAATGCAAGTTATGTAGACCTGCAATTTGTACATTTCCTTCCCTCCGAATATAAACTTTTAGCTGTCTTTTCTTTTTTTAAAAATTCTTTGACAATTTCACAAGGGCATATAGTGAATTTTGGTCCTTTTCACTCCCATTGACTTCTCTCATTCCCCTCCCTCTTCTACAGAATCCTTTCCTCTTAATTCTCTCTCCTATTTTCCTGTCTTTGTGTGTGTGACTCACTGAGTTTTTAGAGTTGTTTATATGAACACAGGTGGGAGGTTATTACTGGATCATAAGCAATGTATTAGGGACTACACCAGTGAGGAAATGCCACCTCTTTTCCCAGCAATCACTAAAAGCCAACAAACCCTCTGGGAGGAATGGGACCTCATGGGCTCCTTCTGGCTATGAACCTGCTGTTTGTCAAAAGCACAGTAAACTCTTCATAGTGTTTTCTGTTTTGGAGAACTAGATATTTGGGACACCATTTCATTCAAGTTTAACTTCAAAAGAAGATATTTGGCATATCTTAGAAAATAGCTTTCTTCCCATTTTTCTTTCCTAAGGGCCTTTTATTCTCAGTTCTGAGTCTCCAGAAATTTCTGCCTTCTCCCTTCTCTTCTGACTTTCCCCCATTTCTATCCTCACCCATACCTCACCTGATCAATCAGAAAAGCACTTCCACAGGGACTCACTGTCCATTAATGTGCATGTTCACATGCCTGTCTGCTCACTCTGAGGCCTGTCTGTAGCAAGTGTGCTTTATCAGTGTGTCTCTATGCATTTGTAGAGTTTTTTCCACTTTTTAACTCTTGCCTCAGTGATGTAAACTGACAGTTCACCTCTCTTTCACAGAGCCTGCTGAAACGCTACCAGCCCCATAGGGTCCCTTCCACTTGCTGTGCACCAGTGAAGACCAAACCGCTGAGCATGCTCTATGTGGACAATGGTAGAGTGCTTCTGGAGCATCACAAGGACATGATTGTGGAGGAGTGTGGGTGTCTCTGACAGACCCAGGGGGAAATGCCGGATCAGCCTGCACTCCAGAAAGCTGGGAAGGTCCTGGAAGACCCCATAGTGTCTATCCAGGGAGAAGTGGTTCTGCTGGTCAGGGCCCATGAAGAAGGGCTCTGCCCCTGTGCATGCAGGGCTCTTGGAGTCTGCCTGAGCCACAGGCCACTGCAGGGAGGAGAGACAGGGAAGCCGTGCAGGGGCTTCCTAAGTTCCCTTTCTGAAAAAGATGGTGGCCAGCAACTGTGCAAACACAAGAGCTCTTTCCTGGATTTGAAAAAAAAAAAACAAAACAACAAACCTTTGAACCCCGTGAAACTGCAAAAGTTGGGGCATATGTGCATTCATTTTGGAGGCCAGTTCTAACTTTCCTGTATTCTCAAAAGTGGTCTGCGACCCACTGCCCCTCCCTGAGGATTAGGATAATTTTATTAGGTTCAAACTAGTCTTTTGGCTTTCCCTGCCTGAAGCTGGGCTAGGGAGCCCCACAGCTTTCTGGCTCGTTGGCAGCAATGTGTTGACCATTCAGGGGATCCCTGTCATAGTCTCTGCTAATGAGTTGCATAAACAATAGAGCCATTGTCTGGTTTTCCTGAACCAGCTGGTGCCTTTGAACAGAGAGGTGGGAACTGGTTCAAGAGGACTGGTCATGTTGGGCTATAGGAGGCAGAGCCCTCAGATGTCCCTGGGTCTATCTGCCTGGCAGACACAACCAGTCTATTAAAAGTTATTGACAATTCAGTCTCTCAATGTGTGTTGTTATTGGGGTCCTAAGGTTCCTATCCAGCAGGGGTCAAACCTTACCCTGAGTGTCAGGGACTGGGGGAGGGGGGTTGTTTCAGCTCTGCAGAGGCTGTTGTGAGCTATGGTGAATATCCACTGTCCAACCTCATAAAATGCAAGGTGGCAGAGCCTGATACATTGACAGAAGTGTCTGTTAGGGCATTAGAATGTACCTTAGGAGCTGGCACTTGCTTAACATGTGTGGGGTTGTGGGTTCAACTCCTAGCATGAAAGGAATCATGAACTGTCAACCACATTGCCCTCCTAAGCCTTACAAGGCCTGCTAAGCTCTGTATCAGTTCCTTTGTTCTTCCTGGTTCTAAGGGGCTTAACTTCTAATTCCACATGGCTCACTGAAGAAGGAAGTCCAGCTTCCCATAGAAAGTTCTACCACCGGGGCTGGAGAGAGAGTGCACGCAGCGGTTAAGAACACTGTTCTTGCAGAAGACCTGGGTTCAAAATCCCAGCACCCACATGGCAGCTAACAACTGCCCATAACTCCAGTTCCAGGGGATCCAACAGTCTCTTTTGTCCTCTGCGGGCATTGCACAATGGGTGCACTCACCTACATTCAGGCAATACATGCATACACATAAAATAAAAATAGTAAATAAAAAAAATCTTTTTTTTGGTCTCTTTGAGATAGGGTCTCCCTGTTGCCCCAGCTGTCCTGGAACTATGTAGACCAGGCTGGCCTTGAACTCACAGAGATCTGCCTGCCTCTGCCTCCCAAGTGCTGGGATCAAAGGTGTCTGCCACCATGCCCGGCTAATAAAATACTTCTAAAAAAAAAAGGAAGTTCTACCCCCAAAACATCTGAGTACACATTCACCCTGTGGATGAAAACACAAGTTGTCTGCCAATGCTGAAGCAGGGGTCTGTTTGTTCGTTTGGCAGGGTGAGAGCTACTTTAAGGAACATGCAAGCTCACTGCTAACTTCCCTTACCCTTACTTCCCAGGAAGCTCATCTACCTGTGCTTTAACCCTGGACCCAACCCAGGCAGGTGGGAGTCCTGCAGTTGGGGGTGACTTGGCTATAGTTTATTTTGAGTCTAGTTTGAGTCAAGAGAGTGAGCCTGGCCCAGGCAGGGGCTGGATTGGCTACAGCATGGCCTGAGAAACCCAAAGGCCTGTGGCTTAGCAGCAGACCTGGGCTCCAGTTTGTTTCCTGCAGAAGAAATGACCTGCCCAGGGCTGAGCACAGTTAAGTCACCACAGGATTCTGCATTGGGTTTTGCATCAGGAACTCATTCTCTATAGCCCAGGCTGGCCTCAAGCCCAAGGTATTTTTGCTCGTCTTTCAAGGGCTGGGATTACAGGCCCTGCACCACCAGGCCAATTATTTTACTTTTGAGAACAGCCTTATGAGGCCAGCTGGTCTCATCCCCTATCCTGAATACCACCCCAGAGAGACCTCATGGCTAGTCACAGCAGAGCTAGGTGCCCCAGATAACTGTTCTTAGGTATCTAGCTAATCTAATTTAGGATCAAGGCCTTGAACTTTGGAGCTACACATTCAGGCCCTAACCCCACTACAGACCTCAAGGAGGGAAAGGTCCTATCCCAGGACTTTAGAAAGCAGGTGCCTGCAGTTCTTGGAGCCAGAAGGGGCAGAGGGGGCGAAAGGTCAAGCTATTTGCAGCTGTAGCTCCAGCTCCAGCTTGTGGGAGTATTTAAAATTGGCTGCTCTGAGAACGTGGGACAAACCTCCTTGATGGCATGACATAAAGTGGATCAACTCCACCAGAGCATGCCACGCTGGCCACAAGATTAAGGTGTTGCCTGGCCAGATTATCTGGGTACCAGTGCCTAACAGCTCCAGTTCTGCTCCATGGGCTGGCTGGAGGTCTTTTAAGTCTCAAAGGGCTGCCTATGAGAATTCTCCTGCCTGGATATGGGGTTTTACTACAAGTAATTTTGCTCTCAAGGTAAAGGTCAAGTATTCTCCAACTGCTGAGGAAGTCGGTGAGCATGTCAGGAGGCAGGAGCAGGAAATGAGGGGCTGGGCTGTAACCCTTCACATCACAAACCCAGTTTTATGGCCATCTTAAAAACTTACCATTTAGATAGGTCCACTGAAGGGGTGTACCCCAATTGCCTCACCCTGCATCCCTGTTCAACATGAAAGAAGCCAGAGCAGTCTGCATCCCAATTCCCTATTGGCAATTTGGATAACCTCTTCAGAGGATGGTGTGTAAGAACAGGATGTAGGAATTGGCTAGGCAGTTAGGGCAAAAAGACCCTGAAGAAAAGTAGCCAGTCTAAAAGTCATTTTTTAATGTTTTAAAACTGAATATGTTCTCTAATCTGTTCCAAAGGTCAAAAATGTCAAAAGTATTTGGGAACTTTTATCTAATCCCTAAAAGATTTTAATAACCTCTTCAGAGGGGGGAATGTTAGAGTAGCAAAAAGCCCCACTAAAAAAAAGAGTACATGAAGTTATCAGAAAAAAGTGATAGGGAATATGGGAGGATTTGGAGGGGAGGGAGTGGGCATGGATTTGATCAAAACACCTTATATGCACGCATGAAATTATATTTTTTTAAGTTAAAAAAAACAATAAAACTTAGCAGGAAGATTCCATCCCTCCTCCTTCAAGGCAGAGCACATGCGCAGGAAAAGCTTTTCAAGTTATCTGGACTGTCTCCCTCAGCTCTTTCAGTCCCAAAGGGCCACACCTAGCTGAGGCAGTTCACTGCTCTAGCCCGCTATTGGCTCAAACTGAGTTTGAGTTTTTTTGTGTTTTTTAAAAAGAGTCACTGTAGCCCAGGCTGTTCTGGAACTCACAGGAATCCTCCTGCCTCAGCCTGGTTGAGCTCTTGTAACCAGCATCAGATGCTCCTGACCTTACCCAAGTCCCACAACCATCCAGAAAGTGGTTTCTAAGAATTCAGCTGGAGGCAGCACAGCTCCGGAATGGAGGGGCTGGGGATGAAGCTGCCCCTCCAAGGCCCAGCCCTAAACCTCTACACTCCTGACCTGAAGACAGTAGGCCTCATCGTTCCTGTGGGCCTGTCGAGCTATTAACACAGGAAAAGGCAGAGTTCTTGCACTCAACACATTACTTGAGACTGGCTACATTAGTAATAGCACTGAAGGCCGGCTCATGCAACACACAGGCCAGGACACCTCTTTCAGAGCAGGGAAAGGCTGTGTGTGTGGGTTTCAAGACTGGTACTCACTGAGGGGCTTCCTTCAATCCCAGGAAAGGGTCAGGCCTAGCACTGACAGGACTAGAGTGACAAAGTGCTCAACAGTGTTGACACACAAAGCAGCCAACGTGTGTGTGTGTGTGACCCAGGCCAGGGGTGTGTATGTGTGTAACCCAGGCCAGCCTGCAACTTGTAATACTCTTCCTGCTTTAGCCTTCTGGGTACTGGGATTATAGGAATCAACCACTATGTACAGCATCTGAATTTTGTTTTGTTTTGGTTTTTTTGGTCTTTTTTTTTTTTGAGACAGGGTCTCCCCAGTAGCCCCACCTGGCCTGGAACTCACTATGTAGACCAGGCTGGCCTTGAACTCACAGAGATCCGCTTGCCTCTGCCTCCCAGTGCTGGGATTAAATGCGTACGCCACCACGCCCTACAGCATTTGAATTAAAACAAAACAAAAAACCAAGTTGGGGTGGCTCAGAGGCAAAGCGCCTTTAGCATGGGTAAAGCCTGGGGTTCAATGCCCAGCACAAAACAACACCAAGTTGATATTCAATGTCTTTATTGAACTGTAACAGCAACCACTGGTGAGAATTTCATTGTTTCCCTAGTTCCAAACACCTGTGGTTTGGAAGGACAGTTAAAAAACAAATTGGTCGTGGAATCACATAGGACGGCCATAGGACTTGTGGAGCTTCAACTGTCCACTGCTGATGGTGAATAGAAAGGAGACTGAGGGGACAGCATACTGGGGGACATTGGAGGTCGGAGAAAGTGCTGGTAACCTCCATCTTTCTGTTGCACATGGCTAGTATTGCAGTAGACACAGAAGGGCATCTCATAGAGAACACACATGGACACCAGAGGAAGAGAGTCCTTGGGGCTCTTCAAGTCGCCTTTAAGATTTACGCTGGGGCTGCAGAGGGTGCCCTTGCCCAGGTGAGTGAGGTGAGGCAAAGGCACTGGTGAGTGATTCAGTGACCTGATGTAATCCCCACAGCCTGCCTCCTGCTGGTTTCTCCCTACTGTCCTGCTCTCTGGTAATGATTTCCCTTGGC